TCTGCTTCAATTTATATTCATTTGAAATTTGTTTTTTGACAATATAATGGAATGCAGTGTTGATTTAAAGAAATAATCTTGGTGCAAAATTTATGGGTGAGAATGGTGCTTGCTTAGGGTGGCTTCTTCCCACCTATTATCCTTCTACTTCCTCCACCCCCATTCTAATTCCCATCATCACCACCATCATCATCCAGGAACCTACATACACACCTCCAAAGTAAGTGTTGCTACCTTTTTGTTGAATTTATTCAATTTCTGGTGAACTAGAACAATGCCAAACCATTGAAACAATGGTTTGGATTCGCAACCTTCTATAGAACCGGATTTAACTAGTTAACTTGGGAACCCTATCTTTCGCCCTTTCAACATCAAAGGAAAGGTCTGCATCCATGCCTCTTGGATATGACCAAAAAACTGATTATGTGTGCCAAGCTTTGAATGTGTGCATCCTGATCGGTCTGAATAAAGTGGTTTTAGGGCATGGAGCACCTACTCTGCACCTGGATGGATTTAAACTTCTGCTTGGGTGGCGTGGTGTCTGTGTGTAGTGGGATGAAGTATTTGCTGGAGACCAGTCCAGGAATGTGCATAATTGCCACCTTTTGTTGGACTGTAGCTTCAGCAGCCGTTCATTGTTTTCTATCTAAAGAGGCTAGTATATACTTTGGAGGTAAAAGCAAATGAGCTTAGAAATCAATAGCCAGCTTCATTGTCACCAGAAGATTCGTGTCATCTGTCCTTGGCTGTATGAACCCAGAGGCACGCCTTTCAGCTTCTTGTTATATATCATTACAACTGGCATTTTCCTCTTATATAAACACAGATACATCAGCATTAAACACTTGTTCTGGTTTGCAGCCTTTCTCTTCTATTATTTTCTCTTGGCGGGAAGTAGGTAGTAAGTAGTAGGCAGCTATCAAACGAGGGATTACTAGCCTGGGAAGATATTGGAAGCATAATGTGTTGTCTAATGGTAGACCCTGCTGCCATGGCATCACGAAATTGTGACCAAGTCCCAGGTTGCTGATCTGACTTTCTGCCTCATTTTACACCTGATGCAGGGTCTCAATTGTTTCTCTTACTATGGCAATACAACATACTGTACATACTGTATATCATTTCTACTAATGATATTTGATTTTTGTTTTTGTATTTATTTATGGCTCCTTATTATTACAGGGGTATGATTATTATGTATTATTTATAATTTTTATAAATTATTGTACAGGTTGTACCTCTCTAGTCCGGCATTCTGTGGTCCGGAAACTCCGTGGTCGGAACGATTTTGGTTTGTCCAATAGGTAGATAGGCAGCTTTTTTTTTTTCTTTTTTATCTGAATATTATTACAGGGTATTAAATTTTCCCTCAGGCCCCAGTGTGGGTCAGTGACCTACTGAGGCTAATCCCCAAAAAAAAAAAAAGCCGGAAATCAGGTTTGTTTACATCAAGCAATTGGCTACTCTCTCTATATATATATCTCTTCTCTCTCTCTCTCTCTCTCTCTCTCTCTCTCTCTCTCTCTCTCTCTCTCTCTCTCTCTCTCTCTCTCTCTCTCTCTCTCTCTCTCTCTCTCTCTCTCTCTCTCTCTCTCTCTCTCTCTCTCTCTCTCTCTCTCTCTCTCTCTCTCTCTCTCTCTCTCTCTCTCTCCTCTCTCTCTCTCTCTCTCTCTCTCTCTCTCTCTCTCTCCTCTCTCTCTCTCTCTCTCTCTCCCTCTCTCTCTCCTCTCCTCTCTCCTCTCCTCCCCTCTCTCTCTCTCTCTCTCTCTCTCTCTCTCTCTCTCTCTCTCCTCTCTCTCTCTCTCTCTCTCTCTCTCTCTCTCTCTCTCTCTCTCCCTCTCTCTCTCCTCTCTCTCTCTCTCTCTCTCTCTCTCTCTCTCTCTCTCTCTCTCTCTCTCTCTCTCTCTCTCTCTCTCTCTCTCTCTCTCTCTCTCTCTCTCTCTCTCTCTCTCTGCTTGTCTATACAGAGTACAACATTTAACCCTTCAATATATATATGAGCAGTAAATAAGTGTTGCTTTCATATTCTTATGTAGAGTAATGATATGTTTTCACATGTGTGCACTTACATACGTGCAGTCTCACTTTCTTTTTACCATTAATGGTTAGCTACTTATATTGTTCCATTTATTAACATTAAATAACATTACAGGTACTTCAAACAACCATATTAATTTTTTTTACATTAATTTTACTGCAGCTAAAATCAGGATCTTATTTTCTTCAGTTTTATATGTAGAACCAATCAGTCACTGGTTTTGTAAGCTTTAACATAAACAATGCCGGCAGCCGTCTTGTCTCTAGTATTCCACATATTATTAATAAATTGTATTGTTAATTTTGCACACACAAACATTAATTCAATAAAAACAAATTCAGAAACATTAATTAAAATATATATGAACAGTAAATAAGTGTTGCTTTCATATTCTTATGTAAAGTAATGACGATATGTTTTCACGTGTGCGCATGCGCACTTACATACGCGCTCTCTCTTTTTTCTTTACCATTATCGTTAGCTACTTCTATTGTTCCATTTATTAACATTAAATAACATTACTTAAAACAACCATATTAATTTTACTACAGCTACAGCCAAGGTCTTATTTTCTTCAGTTTTATATGTAGAACCAGTCAGTCACTGGTTTTGTAATCAACGAAAACATTGCTGTGTCATTTCCTCGTGTGTTTTAATATTCTACGTTTTATTAATGAATTGTATTGCTCATTTTGCACACATAAACATTAATTCAATAAAAAAGACATTCAGTAATAAACAATAATGAATCTTTGTACATAAGAGAAATGACGCTGTTTACACGATTATGCACGTCGTCTGCACGTTGGCAGGCCGTTCAAACCCGTCGAAATTCAAGTTTCCGCCGTCAAAATTTTTATTTATTTATTTTTTTGTGTGTTCCAATAAAATATGTTAAGAATTAAAAACTTGAGAAATTTGAGAAGCTACTATACGACATTTAACCCTTCAATATGTCTTCAAAGAGACCATGTTGCAGAGAAAGTGGTACTAGTGCTTCTGAGCATAAGCACAAGTCACTATCTATCCAGGGAAAGGGTGAATTTCTATGGTCCGGCACCGGTCAGGTCCCGAGGTTGCCGGGCTAGAGAGGTACAACCTGTATTATTATTATTTTATTTATTATAATTTTAATTTATTTTTAAATATTTTTATTATTATTATTATTATTATTATTATTATTATTATTATTATTATTATTATTATTATTATTATTATTAATAATATTATTATCATCAGTCATCCCTTGGTTATCACGCATAATTGGGACCGTGCCGAGTGCGTGATAAAGAAAAACGCGATAACGAAAGTACAGAACCTATGGGATTTATTCTAATTGGTTCCAGGCACCCAAGACCCAACCCCAATTTTCTCATTTTACGATCATTTAGACCCACTAAAGATATAGATAATGTTATGGTAAGTATCAGAAACACACATAGGCATGGATAGGTTTATTACAAAGTGATGAAAAGGGTACAATAAGGAAGAATACATTTGTTACTGGGTACGTTACTGTACTTACAGACTTGAGCTGGTCTTGAGGGAAGGGATTCCGAGGCTAGAGGGTAGAGAGTTAGTGGTCCCCACCCGGCACTAACTCTTCAAGTAACTCATCATCCTCTTGAAAACCCTCAAAGTCAGCTTGAGGTAGTACAGGTGGCTGAGATGGCTGTTGTTGTTAACGAAAGAAGTCCGTAATTTGTTTCTGCCGCAATGCATTGTGGTGATGGTTTAGCTGATTAACATAAGGCTGGAGTGCTCTGCCTATGACACCGGACACACTTTAACTGTCGCCGGCCGGGGGAGGGTGCTGTTCGATGAGGTGTTGCAACCGTTCACGCAACTCAATGATGTCCCTGACTTTTGATATGGGCTGTGCGGCGGGTTGTGCTCCTGGGCTGTCTTCTCTGTTCCGTCTGTCTTCCTCTGCCTGCCTGTCTTCCTCCATAATACCCTCAGCTGTAGGCATAATAGGTTCCAACATAGCCCGTATGTCGTCCTGTATCGTCTTGTCGAACCCTTGCCCTGCCACACGCCTTGCCTCCTCTGCCGCCAACTCAACCTCTGCCTGGACAGACTGCGGTTCCCCTGGCACTTCCTGTCGTTGGTCCTCAGGCAAACCCTCTAACACAGGGGTTCTCAACCAGGGGAGGAATTCCCCCCAGGGGTGGAATTCAGGTTTTCAGGGGGGGGGAAACTGATTCGGGAGCAAGAGATATGTTCGATGAGAAATCAATCACAGAATTTTGGCCCTTGATGTGCGATTCCTACCCAAAAGTGGCAGAAAGAGCTATCAGTGCATTGCTTCCGTTTGTGTCGACATATCTTTGTGAGTCAGGCTTTTCAACTCAGTTGCAAATTAAAATGAAGCAACGCAGTAGATTAGAGGTAGAAAATGACCTGCGTTGTGCTCTTTCAAGCACTCCTCCGCGTATCCCAGAATTGGCGAAGAAAAAACAATCACAGGTTTCTCATTGACTGTAATCTTCATCTGAATAAAATTAATTACAAATTTACAATATCCTGGTATTCTATTGAACTTTTTGTTTATTGCATTATGCTTCAGTTTGGTCTGTTAAGTAATTCATTATAAATATAAAAAAACTATTTTCTTTTATTCAAGTTTTATAAATCCATCAACATTTTCAATTGGCATTTAATTTGTAAAACTCCACTATAAAAATAATCCATGTAAAATTGTAAATGTATATGTACTAATATGGAAAAAATAAAGGATTTTCGGTATTATATGCATATTATTTGGAATGCACTTTTTGAGGCAGACAATCTTGGAAAGGAGAGGGGAATGACATTCTGACATATGGTGAAAGGGGTGCATGGGGCAAACAAGGTTGAGAACCACTGCTCTAACACATTTCTCCAGGCGTGGTTTACAGTCGCTGGCATCACTGCATCCCAACACTCAAACATTAAGTCGATCGCTTCCTTGACGTTAAATGTCCGCCAGTACTGCTTGACTTGCTGCTCTGCCTCTGTTTCTACGTCCCCCCCTCCTTTCTCCTCCTCTTGGTCCTCCTCTTCCACACTGTCGACCAGCATCTGCACAGCATTTTTGTCCTCAGTTGCAAAGCGCATTCTCCTGAATTTTTTACAGGAGTAAGCAGCCTTGACACACGGGATTATTTCCATGTCCATCGGCTGGATGAGAGATGTCATATTAGGGGGGTAGAAATTCCACTCGTATGTTCGGATGTGCTGATCGTAGTAGAGGAAAATGGCCAGGAGCATTATCTAGCAACAAGAGAATGTTGAAGCAGATGTTTTGTGCCTCACAAAAGGCCTGGACCTCGGGAACGAAGAAGTTGTTAAACCAATCCAGTGACAGCTTCACCGACATCCAGGCCTTCTTGCTTGTAAGCCAGTTCACATTAAGCCTCGTCATATCTTGTCGTTTGTAGGCTTCTTTGCTCGATGGATAACTGTCGGTTTCATCCTGCATGATCCCGTAGTATTAGTGGTGAACAAAACGGTGAAACGCTCCTTAATTGCCTTCCTGCCGAGGACCTTGGCCGACGACTTGGTGATGAGTGT